GTGTGTGTGTTGTGTGTGTGTGTGTGTGTGTGTGTGTGTGTGTGTGTGTGTGTGTGTGTGTGTGTGTGTGTGTGTGTGTGTGTGTGTGTGTGTGTGTGTGTGTTGTGTGTGTGTGTGTGTGTGTGTGTGTGTGTGTGTTCGTGTTCTCAGGGGCTCTTGCAGTGGAGGTCCGAGCCCGAGATGAAGACCTCCTGGAGATGGTTTCTGTCCTCCATGATCATGACACTGTGCTGCGCTGCATAGCTGAGAGAGCCTTCCTCAGACGCCTGGTACACACACACACACACACACACACACACACACACACACTCAGTTATTTGAACACAGTTTGAATATTATGACTGTGTGTCTTTGTAGGAGGGGGGTTGCAGTGTTCCAGTAGCTGTACACACTGAGTTGAAGGACTCCCAGGTGAGCGTGCTCCACAAACACCACACTCTGCACAGTCAGCAATTCTCTGCCTTCATAAAAAGATTCAATTCAGTCCCATGGATATGGGGAGAATGTCCCTCCTCTGACTTCCTCCATCACAGCTGTCTTCCATGTTTGTTTTCATTGAATGTGATTGATTCCCGCTCCTGCTCATCCGGCCAGCACAGATCTGAGATGAGTGTGAGGTCAGAGTCTCATAAATTCAGACTCAGGCCACATTGCTAAATATTCGACTGCTTATGAAGGTGGTATGAATCTGATTATTAAAGATCAGATCCAGTGACTTGTGCTGCTCAAACTGTCAGAAAGAAAATCACATTTGATTCAAATATGAGCAACAATATGTGATTATGGTCACTTTGGCTGCAGTGTGAAGCGTGATGTAGACTCTGTAAGTTGATATTCCTGCTCATTATTTTTGCTCCTGAGCTCAGACACTTTGATTTTTTCCTCCCAGCTCTACCTGACGGGGCCGTGTACAGTCTGGACGGATCAGACAGTCTGAAGGAAACCATGCAGACGAGCATCACTGCTACTGGAAAGGTAACAGCTGAGTGCAAAGTGTAGAGACCCCAAGAAACATGTGATATGTGTTCACTCTTTAGCCAACCTTTAACCATAACTTGTGTGACAGAGTCTGGAGGGGGTGGAGAAAAGGTCCAGCGAGTGGGAGTCACAGCGAGCAAGATCTCTGGTGAAGCCCAGGACCGGCTGAGCGACTGGGACAGACCTGGCCAACTTACTGCTGAGCAAAGGAGCCAAAGAGATCCTGACTGTAGCCAGGCAGCTCAATGACGCCAGATAATCCTGCACGAGCTGAGGGGCGGCCATTGGATGAGTGGGCGTGTTGTGAGGAGGAGGCGTGTCTTGAGGAGGAGGGACGTGTCTGTCTCTGCATCATGTTGAATAAACTCCACAGTTTATTTTTTCTATCACATGTTTGACGTTTATTAAGAGAACGCTGACTTCCTGACTTGTGAGCTCTGCAGGTAAAGGTTTAGGATTTTAATCTCGACTTTGACCAAAGCTGCGCTCAGTGTGGTTCACTGCTGCTCAACGATGACTGTCTGTAGCGCTCAGGCTCTTTGTTCCCTCCTGTTCTTACATAGAGAACCTTCTCCTGAGCCATGAAGCCTTACTGGGATTATCAGAGAGAAACACCAAACTGCCTTCAATCATAGTCGCAGCTGTTAAAGAATCCTCACTCTCTGATAACCTGCTGGTTCAATCTGTCTGATGTTTTTAGTCAAATCTCTGTATCAATAAGGAATGCTGTTAAAAATCTGCATCCTTAAATATTTATCGTCTGTTTCCTTTAGACTTCATGCTGAGTCAGAGAAGCTAAAGCCCTGTTTTTTAAGTTGTCCTGATGTATCCCAGGCTGTAACTTGTAGAAATGTAGGCAACATGACTCAGCATTTTGTTATTTTATAAGTGTAGGTAAACGATGCAGTGCAAATAAATAATTCAACCTCAGGCACATAACTGTTTGTGAAGAAACAAGATAAATGCATACAGAATGATTTAAATAAAGAGATCTTATTCATGACTCATAAATACCCTCACGCTGCCAACCTGCATTTACTTCAAGGCCCACCAGGGGACCGCATCCCACACTTTGGAACCATTGGTGACAGAGCAGATGTAAATACACGTCATTGAACTTTAAATTTCACAGCATGTTTGTGCAAACCATAACAGTGTCACACAGCTGTACAGCCACACTCACTTCACTGACTCTTAATTTAATAAATGGCCCAGAGCAGAAGATTTATGGTAACACGATAAAGATATGTTTGTGGTTGTGTTGTCTGTATTTTGGTTTCTGGTTCTGCTGTGTTTGTGCATTACAGTTTCTAAATGACCCACATGTTGTCAAACTGATGATGTGACTTTTCTATTAACTGGATATTTATAAAGAACAATAACTAACATGGATGCTTTAGGGCAGGTTGAGAAAGAGTTTGTTAAGGGAGTTTTGTGATTAGCCTCTATTAAACGTTTTTGAAACCAAACTGACGAAGTGTAATGATCTATGATTTGACTGCTGAAGACTTTTAGAATTCATGTAATCTATTAATAATAAAGCATACGGATTATTTCATCAGTCCAAATATTTGTATTATTATTATGTAATATTATTATGCATGAAAACTTTTTCTTTCATTTCTGGAGTTACTGAAATATAATATATAACCTGTTTGTTTCTCAGGAATTAGTATTTGTGAGTATGTCCCTAAATCAGCAACCTTTATCTACACTATAGATAAAGTTCATTATCTAGACTAAAACTGAAGCCCTGAGTGATAATATCAAAATCATTCAACAAGATTAACTGTTGTAGCATTTATGTTGAAACATTTTCAACTTTTATCCTAATTTACCTCACACATAAACACCTTTTTTTAAATGTATCTCCATCAGTTGCCTGTTAAATCATTCAACATAAATATCTACTCTTTGGGCATGGAGACTATCCCTTCATCCAGTGTATCCTCTGGAGTGACTAGGGTTTATCTGAATTTTTATATGAATAAAATTAAATGAATTAAAAACATTTTAAACTACTGCTGCTTTATGGTCTGTGTACAAATAGAATATTATGAAGAATATGCTATTTTTGAAAACTCAAGGAATGTATTTTAGTTCATTAATAGTAGACAATTGATTGCAAGACAATGTTTTTATTTTATTTTTACAATTGAATAAACAGAAAAAATCTCATTACAATACTGTTAAAAGCAGCGGTTTTACTCAAACTCAAAAAATTAAAATCATATAAAAGATGTAAAATAAGAGACAGAAATTATTAAGAATAAAAAAAGCAAAGGTTTTATTATTAGTCCTTTAAAATACAGTTATATTATATCTTGATTTTTTATTTTTCAGGCCCGGGGCAGGGGGTTCTTACCGGCCACCGTTGAAAAAGTCCAAGGAATATAAGGCATATGAGAATACTCTACAAAGAGCAAAAACATGAAACAGAAAGTCTGGGATTTCTTACTTTAATTAATTGTACAACATCTTTGAGAATAAAATAAAACTACAATAAACACAACAATTGTGTTCTTCCCTTCATTTATGAGGGAAGAATTGGGCCGGTTAAATTAACACATTTATTATTTATCACATTTAATAATGTGTATCAGTCAATTTAAAAAAAAAAAAAAACATTCATTCAGCGTTAATGCCTTGATATTTGCAGTAGCCTATATGTTTGATCAATAGAATGTAAATGTTTAAAACTTACTTTCATAGGTCTTGTGTTATTTTGGTATGTTTTATTTTGAAACATTTTTCCGGAAGTAGGCTACTTCATTGACGCTGGGAGATTAGAGCTCTTCAAATGTAAAACCTTTTCGTGCACTGTGGGTTGTTTGTACAGATTATAAGGAACAATTGGACAACGTGAAGTCTCCACAATGATCTGTATACTGCTGGTAGCCGGGCACGGCACCGTTTTAGAGACTCAGATTAAGGTAGGAAGCTTTTAATTCACGCTGCAGCAGAAAGGAGGTAATGTGAGGCGGTGCAAAGTTCAGGTTTGTTATGAAGCCTTCATACTCACAGTCAATATGTACAGACACAGGTCACAGCACACCGAACTGCTGTCAGTATAACCTGTCAGTGTAAGTGTTAAGGTTAAAACAGAAGTCAGTGCATAGTGACCGTGAGCGGGGCACAGACCGAGTTACCGTGTTATCTGGTGACTTTCAACCCAATGCGCCGTTACACAAATAAGTCTTCTAATGAATGCCTCTTTGTATAGTTTTTCATTGAATACATTTCTGATGAGTTTTTTATTTTATTTTCATAATGTGTACATTAGCCAGCATCCTTAGACACACTCACAAAAAAAACGAGTACAAGAGATCACCGTTCTTCTCCATACTCCTCCACTCCCACCCCTGTACAGAAAATAAACCAACAAATTCAGGAAAGAATAATAATCAAATAAAACAAAAAGCTAGAAAACTTAAATTTTCAAGTATTACAAATATTCTTGCACAAAATCTGCATATTTTATATAAAATAAATCTCAAAGCATCAGAAACAAAAGCAGCTACAAAGTTATGTGAGCAGTAACATACTAAGTGAGTAGTTCATGGTAGTTCATATCTTTCCAGATGAACTTGGGGCCTTCTCTCTTCCAAGACTATTATTGAACACCACTGGGAGAACTTTCAAAGTAGGAAAATGAATAGTATCCAGAGGTCTTGAAACATTTGTCCTCGGTTGTAAGTTTCTCTAAAGGTAACAATTCTGAAAGTTGATCTAGAAACATCTTAAAGGTTGGGGAGATTCATTTTTACAAAATAAAAGAATGATGAGTATTTTTGACATTATAATAAAAAAACTAAAATAGCCATTCATTACACTTCACATCTTCAACATCTGCTGTCGCTACGACAACCACAGATGCATTGGGCTGAAAGTCTCCAGTTAACATGGTCACTGTTTAGACTGTAACACCCGATTACAGCCAACCCAACAACCAAACCACTTTTTCAATACAATATCCTATTTATCATTAGCTCTCAAACTGTCCTCACTCTCATATTATTTCAGAATATTAGTATTGTTTCGATTTTTTTCATTCACATTTAGCAATTTGTTGTCTCGTAATTTCCTGAATGTTGTTGTTTTTTGCATTATTTTAGGTTTATGTAAAAAGATAAACTGCTGGCTGTGACTTACACACCCATTCTGAGAAGCCCATTTTTACTGCAGAAATAAACATGTTTACAGACTAGTTCATAGAAATGTGGTCTGAATAGTTAATTTATCGATCAGCACACATTGTAGGCCTACAGGTGTTTACTCTTTTGATTTTGTGAAGGCTAAGAGTTATTAATAATAAGGAAAGCTTTGGTACCATTTTGACCAATCATTGAAATAACAGACAGTATATTGTTTTTAAAACACTTGGTGTTGCCAAGTATCAAAGTATTGAATATTTTGATGACCTTGATCTTTTCATCCATCCTTTTCTTTCATGTCTGCCACCTAGAATGATGACACAGGCTTATACAGCCACCTGACCGGAGTACCGAAGGCCTTACTTCCTGGTACTGGAGGAAAGAAGATTCTTGACTTTTGGTGGGAAACTGTCAACATGTACGTAACAGTGGCAAGTTATCCTACAAGTTATCCTACAAGTTATCCTACTAGTTATCCTACTAGTCATCCTACTAGTTATCCTACTAGTCATCCTACAAGTCATCCTACAAGTTATCCTACAAGTTATCCTACTAGTTATCCTACTAGTTATCCTACTAGTTATCCTACAAGTTATCCTACTAGTCATCCTACTAGTCATCCTACAAGTCATCCTACAAGTCATCCTACTAGTCATCCTACTAGTCATCCTACAAGTTATCCTACTAGTTATCCTACTAGTTATCCTACTAGTTATCCTACAAGTCATCCTACTAGTCATCCTACTAGTCATCCTACAAGTCATCCTACTAGTTATC